CACCTGAGAGCTGGACAGAGAGATGTACAAGGGCTCTGCATCTCCCCACCCAGCTCTTAGCAACCAGGGATGCTCTTGCCAGCGTCTCTGTTTGCCAGGAGTTCGGTGGGACAGGTTGCTGGATGGGGAGATGTTTATGGCACTTACACATCTCCCTGCCCAGCTCTTAGCAATCTGGGACGCTCTTGCCAGCGTCCTGCCGAGCTCCAGGCAACCAGCGACATCACTGGTTGCCAGGAGCTCAGCAGGACACTGGCAAGAGTGTCCCAGGTTCATAAGAGCTAGGTGAGAAGATGTGTATGGCCCTTACACATCTCCCTGCCTAGCTCATAGCAACCTGGGACACTCTGACCGAATAGGGGGTGGCAGACACAGTGCAAACAACGTGCAGCACTGCGACTATGTTGTTCTGCCTGCCGCCCCTCCACATGGCCCAAAGAGATGCTGCCTGAGTCAATAACCTCAGGCTGCCTCATTATAGGGAGAAGCACTGTTGCAGATAGCTGGAAGCAATGTAGTTGTTAATATGATCACTATGTGCATTACTCAAACAATCCCCAATGTATCCAGTTTGTGACTGTGCTGTCTAAAAAGTAAGCAAATAAGTGTCTCTGAATATAACAGATATTTTTACAACCATCACCTGAATTTTCTGATATCTGGATCTTTATTGAACTTTTGGGATGGAACAGATCACAGACTTTTTCCCTCTAAGTCATGCTAAGCCTTATGGGACTTGTAGTTCTACAACAGCCAGAGTGCCAAGGTTGTCTATCCCTACTCTGTTATCAACGCTATATATCCATACATCTGCCTTATTACAGTTTATCCTATTTATCTATATGTTCTCTAAGCTCTGCATCAATGGCTCCTTCTGATAACTGAAATATAGTATTTTATGAAAAAACACAGCTATTGTTTATGATATGCAATGCTTTAACGAACTACATGTTTTTTATCTATAGTTTACATATACATTAAACCTATATGGTTATTGATGAGCTTTTACACTATCTGGTACATTATGAATTTTAGAAAAGTGTTCATTTGGAAAAAAAGTTATTGTAAAATACAAGTCTGAAATGCTAGTTTCTTCCTAGCCATTTGCTGCTTGTAAGTGTTTTTTTTATAGATCGGTCTAAATATTTTACTTACAGATATATGATAATTATTCAAAGTTCTGTCATGTATTTTACTTCACACTTTTTACAGAGTGATTGTGAGTGCAATAATGGATTCCGCGGTGATGGGATTCAATGCGAGTCTGTGAACACTTGCCTAGAAGAGAAGGACAAGTGTCATGCACTGGTAAGCTTCTTGAATGGAAGCCTGTAGTGAGAGAACATGAAGGCTGCCATTGCTGAACTCTTTGTAAAAATAAGAGCCTGGCTAGGAATGACTCCGAAAGGGTTTAAACCTGGCTGCCTCTGGCTTCAACCCTTTCTGAGTCAGCACACTGTATCCGCATATTGGTTTCACTGACGCCGAAAGTTATGAAGCCATTTGTTTAGCATGACAACCAGGCAACTAGAATTTTCAGAAGTAGGGGTCAGCAGTAGCATCCTATATAGACCCTTAGTTCCAGGTTCCTTCAAAGATTTATAGAAAAGTATACTTGTACACTTTGTGTTGATTATAATGAACATTTTAATGTGAGTTTTTTTGGCGTGCCACTTTTAATTTATATTATTGTAATAGGGCAGTCTCCTTTATTTGGGTTGATATTTGATCCACCACACTCCAGACCAGAATCCCATTAAAGGAGAACTATGAGGTTAGTGCTTTTCACTCACCTCATAGTTCTAGCCGACCTGTGACAATGAGACTGTCACAGGTCTGCTCAGTAGATCGGGAAGTGAGCGAACACATACCGACGTTCGCTCACTTCTTGATCCTGTCACGGCTCTCTGCCGTGACAGGGGAGGGACTGGATTCCACCCTCCCCGCTCCGATCCTCCATCGCTGACTGGTGGAACGGACGGGGGAGGGGGCGGGTACAGCTGGCTCTGCCTCTACATAGGCACTCACACATGCAGCTGGGCGGATCCAGACATAATTGTCGGGATCCGCTTCAGCTGCGGTGTCTCAGTATACCGCGAGCTGCAGCTCGCGGTATACTGAGCTTAGGGTGAGGGGAGGATGCTAGTTTGTGTCCTCCCGTTACCCTTAGGAGAACTATGGGGAAAAGCCCTAACCCCATAGTTCTCAGTGGGTGCTGGTATGACCTGCAGATGGCGATGCGTAAATTACAAGAATGTTGAAGTCTCCCACACTCCAAGGTCAAATATGCTGAACGTCTTTGTATTAAGACACTAGGCAATCATGGTGACACAGTGCAAAAAGCAATGTTTTGGAACTGAACATAGTCCCTTCATCAGGCAAACACGTTGCTTCTTGCACTGTGTCAACATGATTGCCTAGCATCTAAAAAAAAAAGACATTCAGCATATTTGACCTTGGAGTGCGGGTGACTTCTTCAAGATCCTTTATATAGGGGTCTCAGATATAATTTTGTAATGTCCGTAGTTTGGTTAATGTTGGATGTATCCATTTTGTTCTGTGGTGCATAATAGAATATATTATAAACGGCAATCTCCGTGTGCTAGAGAACGTGGTGGGTGGAATACTAATACATGTGGTGTATAGCTCAATTCTGTTGTAATACAGAGTCATCAGAGTCATACCAGTAGAGGTAGCTGGCAGCCAGGCAACTAGAATTTTTCAGAAGTAGGGTTTGGGCTAGAGTTTTGGCCTCCAGAGAGCACACATCCACCCATGTCTACTGCATTCCTAGCAGTCACATACTGCATA